CAGGGTCACTCTCAGGTGGGTCCTGCGTCCTGCGGCGCGCGCGGTGGGGGGGGCCCGGCCTAAAGCCGTGTAAGGGGCCCCAAAATTTCTGATGGCTGCCCTGCACGGGGATCACCATGTCTAACCCATCCAGGTGACACCGTATAAAACTGGCACCGGTTCATCGTCTCCCCGGTGACACCCCCAGCTATAGGGCTCAGCGCTATCAATACACCGGGGTATCAAATCCGCCATTTTGCCCCATGAGTTGGACAACCAGCAGACTCGCTGGATGTCAGAAGAGTCACCCCCCCCACGTGTCCCATGTAGCATGTCCTCTTCCTTGTTGGGGGACACTATGAGACGCCATATTTGTAAGAACATAGAGCAGTGGTTCTCAACCTTTCTAGGACCCCTTGGTAACATTTGCCAAGATGTGGTGACCCCCCCAACCGTAAAATTTAGGGATGCACCAATACTAGTATCTGTGTGGGGCGCACTCACCTCCCCTCACTCCTGCCCGCTCCCCTCTCTCTGATCCTTTGTAGCGCCATCTAGGAGGACTGACACTGCCATGCTAGGAGGAGGCTGAGGAGCCTCTAGAGCAGCACAAGGCACGTGGGGACACCCTCAACTGTGTGGCGCGACCCACAGGTTGAGAACCAGTGACATAGAGGGTCGTTCCTGAGCTCCTTCTCACATTTTAATGACATCATTCTGTATTAGGTGACATCACCTCATGGTCTGGACCCACCATTGGGTCTTCTACCAGTGAAACCAGTCTCCTTTCCACACTGGAACTGGAAACCAGTCTCCTTTCCACACTGGAACTGGAAACCAGTCTCCTTTCCACACTGGAACTGGAAACCAGTCTCCTTTCCACACTGGAACTGGAAACCAGTCTCCTTTCCACACTGGAACTGGAAACCAGTCTCCTTTCCACACTGGAACTGGAAACCAGTCTCCTTTCCACACTGGAACTGGAAACTATTCTCCTTTCCACACTGGAACTGGAAACCAGTCTCCTTTCCACACTGGAACTGGAAACCAGTCTCCTTTCCACACTGGAACTGGAAACCAGTCTCCTTTCCACACTGGAACTGGAAACTATTCTCCTTTCCACACTGGAACTGGAAACCAGTCTCCTTTCCACACTGGAACTGGAAACCAGTCTCCTTTCCACACTGGAACTGCAAATCAGTCTCCTTTCCACACTGGAACCGGAAACCAGTCTCCTTTCCAGACTGGCGATGGCCTTACAGGAGGTGATCTTCTGTCCAGTACCAGGACGTGGCCCGGAGTTCAGCTGATGTTGTTCTGCGGTGACCTGTCCATTGATGAGACTTATCCGGAATGACATCCGGGATGGTACCAGGGACCTGACTGATGGCGCCATATTGTTCCTCCTATTCGGAATAATTGGATGCAGACAAAGCCGGCCGCTCGCATTTCTTGGATTGCGCATCTTTTTTTTTTTTTTTTTACTGGAGAGAAGGAACGTCTGAGCCCGCGTATCGCAACTTCTGTCTCCGCTGCCAAATGCGCCAGACTCGGGCTGCGAACGTGTTTTCCGTCTCCATCTGCCAGCCGAGCGATCCCGACATTTGTCAGAACACAATTCGTGTGAAAACCAGTCAATGAACGTGGCTGAGCCGGCACTGCCGCATCTCATCTGATGCAATCGGTGTTAACCCTTCCTGCACCGGGGTGGCTGAGCTGTACACCCCTCCCAACCACCGCACCAACGAAGGGTAAATTCCGGTGTACACCTGCAGTGCTGTACCTATGACATACACTATATGGCCAGAAGTCTGCGTGCCCCTGGCCATGATCCCTATTTAATAAATGTTGAGTTGTCCCCCTTTGTGGCTATAACATTCTCCACTCTTCTGGGAAGACCCCAAATGAAGTCTATGGAGGGGGGGTCCGTGTAGTTCAGTCGCCTACGATATCATCTTCACCATCACAGATAGACAAGGCGGACCCAGTAATGGGATGAGATGCCACACACCGTCTGCACTGCTCAGGGCAGGCCGGTCTGTATTATCGCTGTCTTCCGGGACATACAGAAGACCAAAAATGACTAAAAATGGAGACAAACCTCCAAGGAACCGCGTCAGGAATGTCCCCTCATGACAGAGAGTGTTTCTACATGGCCATGTTTTGTGGACACCCGGATCCCCCCATCCCCATGGACATTAAGGTAAAGTTGACCTCCCCCACCCAATATGGAGTTGCCCCTTCCCTTCTATAGACATTATATGGTGTCGGCCCTCTTGTGGCAATATCATCCTCCACTCTTCTCTCCACTCTCCACTGTTTTCCCACAAGATTTTGGAAGGTATCTGGGGGAATTTGTCCCATTTGTGAGGTCAGGTAATGATGTTGGGTGAGGAAACCCGGCTCACAATCAGAGTTCCAATTCGTCCCAAAGGCGCTCAGTAGGTTTGAGGTCGGGGCTCTGTACACGACACCCTAGTTCCTCCACCAAGCTGGTCACACCATGTCTGTATGGAGCTGGCTTTGTACACAGGGGACAGTCATGGGGGGGGGGGGGGGACTGGAAGAGGACAATTGTCTACAATGTCTTTGTATGATGGAGGATGAACAGAACCTTCACTGGAAACCTCTGAACTTGGTGATCTGGATAGAGGGGGGGTCCACTTTGGGCCATATGATGTATACCAGGAAAACCTAAGTGAATACACAATTCAGGAGCCAGTCAGTCTAACAAATGTGATGCAAATCAGGCTGTGGCAGTACAAAGTATGACCTTCCAGTGCCTTGAATTCCTAGACACTCTAAAGGTGGCCATGCACTCTGCGAATTTCAACCGGTCGTGATCCGGCCGAAATTCTCACAGTAGATGCTGCTGTCAGCATCCTTTCGGCTGGCATCCCTCAATCAGCTGAGCTGGTTGGAAAATCTTCATACGGTCAGTTTGGGTCGCCAGCCATCTCTTCTTCCATATCATGGCCGGTTCTTCTCCTTCCCTCATGCTTCTCTCCCTCCAAACCATGGATGGTTCTTCTCTCCACTGAAGGACAGGTCTTCTCTCCCTCCATACCATGGATGGTTCTTCTCTCCACTGAAGGACAGGTCTTCTCTCCCTCCATACCATGGATGGTTCTTCTCTCCACTGAAGGACAGGCCTTCTCTCCCTCCATACCATGGATGGTTCTTCTCTCCACTGAAGGACAGGCCTTCTCTCCTTCCATACCATGGCCAGTTCTTCTCCTTCCCTCATGCTTCTCTCCCTCCATACGATGGATGGTTCTTCTCTCCACTGAAGGACAGGCCTTCTCTCCTTCCATACCATGGCCAGTTCTTCTCCTTCCCTCATCTCTCTCCACTGAAGAACTGACTGCAGACAGACTAAGCTGTCATTCAGCATTTTAGAAGATCCGCTGTGACACCAAACTCTTCCACAACCTAAGGGTGCAGAGCTCAGTAGTGAAGGATGTGAAGCCTAAGGATGCAGAGCTTAGTAGTGAAGGATGTGAAGCCTAAGGGTGCAGAGCTTAGTAGTGAAGGATGTGAAGCCTAAGGGTGCAGAGCTCAGTAGTGAAGGATGTGAAGCCTAAGGGTGCAGAGCTCAGTAGTGAAGGATGTGAAGCCTAAGGGTGCAGAGCTCAGTAGTGAAGGATGTGAAGCCTAAGGATGCAGAGCTTAGTAGTGAAGGATGTGAAGCCTATCTGATGCTGGAAGTGTTCTCTCTCAGCATCGGACCATATCAATGGGTCTAAAGAAGGGAAAACACAGCATTGGTGGCCTCCTACCTTCACTACGAGTCCTCACCACACCTACTGCTCCAGGTACGTGTTTGTCACCTATGTTTTTAGGAAAAGGTCCTTGTGGCACTTCTGAGCCTCACTCACCCCAAACACGGAAATGAGAACCAGAAATGAGTCCAAGGACAAGGTTAATGGGGAACATGTAGAGAGGCTTCTAGCTGAATTTCGCACTTCATTTGTTACAAAGTCATTATGATAATTTTATTATTTTGAAATCTGAACATTCCATTTATTTTGGGGAAGAATAAAAACAAAATGACAGTATCATGAGGGGGAAATTGTGATGAAGATCTCTTCTGTCAGCAAGCTGCTAAAGCCTAGAAGGAATGTGAGGGTCACTTCTGCCAAAGCGTCCTTCCGGCCTTCATCAGACACAGATGGGATCCGGTTGCCGGGGGTTTCGGCACTTTTGCTGTATGAAGTGAGATGTCGGTGATCTCCTCGTATCGTTGTCTGCCGTACAATGGGCTGTCACAATGGATCCAATTTACTCGGTTCAGTTGACCCATCTGCTCAACGTCATGTCAGAGCTGCCTCAGAATGCGTCCTCACATCAACCTCTCTGAGGAACATCCACAGGGACTCTTCTCCACACAGGAGCTCATCACTGTCCTCTCATCGTTCCCTAATGGCCTGTCACTACAAATCACGCTCATCATCACATCTATCGTCTCAGGAGGTCATTCTCCAGTGTGAATATATATATATATATACTCGGACCGAAACCGCTTCATTACCTCCACAACATGCGCCCCAAACTCCTATACTGTGACCGCGCTCCCACTTCTTACATTGGGGTGTAACAACCAACCCTCTGCAAATCCTGCCCTCCTGAACCTCATCCACACCCTTCATGTATTTAAAGGTTTCAGTCATGTCCATCCTTCCCCTCCTGCTGGGGACCCCTCTAGTGATGATAAAGATCTATATAGAGGGATCAGGACCTCCTTCCTCCTGCTGGGGACCCCTCTAGTGATAATAAAGGTCTATATAGAAGAATCAGGACCCCCTTCCTCCTGCTGGGGACCCCTCTAGTGATAGATCTATATAGAGGGATCAGGACCTCCTTCCTCCTGCTGGGGACCCCTCTAGTGATAGATCTATATAGAGGGATCAGGACCTCCTCCCTCCTGCTGGGGACCCCCCTAGTGAAGCACCCCAGAATTCTGGTCACTGCCAGGCCACACGGTTTTCTTATTTTGCACTCATCTGAAATAAGCGCCCCCAATCCTTTTCCTTTGTAGTTCTGGCCAGCACTGTACCCCCCAATCTGTCGGGAGATCCTTTTTCCATAAGTGGATTTGACTATTTTAGAATGTTGAATTGCACTTTCCGAGGCTCTGACCGATCTTCCACCAATGCCAGATCCCGTTCCATGTTACAAACATCTCCGGGTAGATCATCATCCTTATTGTCCACGTTGGTGTCACCGGTCTAAAGACGAACCTTCAGGTGTGTCACTTACACTTCTTTCCTATTGGTGTGTACATCGGGCGTGCGGAGTGCTCGGCGCGGGGTCATCGCTGTTACATTGCCGTTGTGGTCTACGTATATTATGTACATGTGGTGGATGGGGGATTGGTGGAA